CTGAAGAGAATTCCTAGTTTCCTTATCTATCATGCGATCGTCCCCAATCCTTGGAATCTCTCCTTTTAGGCTCGGATGTCTCGTTTCATGAGGATTGTGTGTGAGTCATCAGGATCGGCAGCACTATCAGGCAGGTACCCCACTATAATAACCCTACTTTGGATATTTATCAAGTTGCATTATGAGTCATGCATTCCATGTAGTCTTGGATAATTATCACTCTTATACTACACCTAGAGTAGTCTAATAATCTATAGAAGCCTCTCATCTAAACAATGGGAATGGGAACGCTTAATGCTTATTGCTTAGTTGCATGGGCAATGGTAGAAGTCGAGCATAAAAAGGGAACTCATACTCACGCATATAGGATGTTACACCTGGAGAATTAACTACTAAAACCAATGAAGGTACAACTTGACTTACCTAACTAGTCTGGCTAAGGACTAATATCCCTAATGTGGTAACCTTGATAATAACTTGGATATCTTGCTCATGCGAGGGGAAGGTCATCATGAGTGTGGGATCTCAGGTGACGTAGCTCATGGAGCAGCAAGGACCATGTATTGGGATACGTAAGTCCAAGTAACCACCCGTATAGACCACATGTCGTGGATGGGGTCGACAAGCCAAGTAACTAGTTGCGACCTGTTTATGTGTGAAACTGATAAGGGGGTGGCGTCTATCAGGAATGTCTAGGAACCTAGCCAAACCTTTCATGTGACACTCGGGCCAAATTAGGGAAAGGTTGGAAGGCGTGAGGCAACCCTTACCTAGGCATGGGTATGGTTGTTAGTCCTGACTTTCGTGTGGGTGTAGTTGTACACCTCTACAGAGTCTTGAAAGCCTGGAGTCCTTCGAGATAGAACCATTTAGTTGTTCTTTCTTTCTATACCCATGGTAGCATAAATAATGGACTATGAGCACTTTGTTATAATGATGAATACATTTACTACTAATGTTGAGCATAGCATGTCATATTCCAAATGAACATCATTGCTTTCCGCACTCATACAAATGCCCAATAATCACCCTATGCATCCACCAAATACTATGTGTTGGAATTAAGCCCTACGAGTACGCAATGTACTCACGGTGCAGCTGTTAAGTTGTTTTACAGGTATGTCATATACCGTGTTGAGCACTAGTTGGACCGCCGCTGCATAGTAGCACTTGGAATGGGCGTTACTCCAGGTGTGCTACAAGTTAACTCTGGATTCCTTGATGGAGCGACTATGAACGTGAACCCTAGTGTAGTAAAGACCGCATCCACTAGATGGAGCGGGATGTAAAACTTGTACTAGAAAGTCTAGTTAATTTGTACATAATTGTGTCAATTGAGTTCCATCTACTAGTTCGATGTTGGAATAATAATTGGAATACTATGTGCCACTCAACCTGATCGTGAAGAGGAGTTGCTCGGTGCGCTCCTAGGGGCCTTGAAGATACTACTTCGACAACCCCGTGACAGATGGGGTATCGAAGCAATGGTTGACTTGCGCATATAATCTAGTTATTAAACCTCCATTGACTGGTGCATGGTACTCGAAAAAATGGAATTAAAATCTGGGCTTCTATTTCTTAGAACCCAACCCTAAAGGTTGAAAGTAACCCTTCTCTAATTAGGTACTCTAGCCCTTATCCTACGCCCAATGAAATGCTAAGCACCTAGGAAGTTTTCGGAAGAAAAACAATAAAATGCGGTAACCTTGAGAATGCTGACATGGGACGGGTTTATAGGATCACCTAAGCGAGGAGTTGTCTTTTTAATCGCCCTATGCGTAGTATGTTGCAATGGTAGAATAACTAAGAGACGATAGCGATCCCAATCTTTCGTCTTTGAAAGCAGCCCTTATCCCTTATCTCATCTGGAAGTTTTGGCAGAATCTCCCCTGTATCTTAGCATTATCTCCCAATCATAGGACAAGCAGACGAGTATGCACATAAGCAAGTTATCGACCAACATCACAGCTAGCATAAGAGGTCCATAGACATGGTTCACCAACATGACATAAAGGTTCATCAAGTTCTCGATCGTTTGACCACGACCATTGTAGCGACTTGGTCACCTCGATGAATGACCACACAACCGATCAAGTAGCAAAAGTATCAACACAAGTATCACGCCTGATGTGGCTGGGCGACGAGTAAACGACTGATGTAAGGTTTTTGAGCCATCACAACGGAACGACTAGGAGACCACGATGAGCTTCACGGCTGTGGTGGTGGAGGCTGCTGCTGCTGTGGCTGCTACGAGAAACACGACGGCGGAGGCGCTTGCTGATGTGCCTGAGGAAAGGTGCCAGTGGTAGGCACGGTCAAACATACACCAAACTTGTCAGTAGGATGGAGTGCCCACTAAACCTGAAGTATAGTCACTAATAGTCAAAGTTTCTCATTGAGTAAGAATATCATAGCGTCTGTCACCACGGCGGAGTGTCCGATGAATTATACCGAACTAATAACCTAAGGACCCGAGAGCACCCAGTTCCCATCGGAGTCTCCGTGATTCCCATGGAGCGTTCGCCAATCAGTACAGAGCCAAACCAGAGATAACCCACCTTGGCACCCAACACAGCGGAGCGTCCATTAGTAGGACAGAGTGTCCGACTATCACAGAGAGGGTGAAGTCAGTTAGTAAGTTCGCTCAAAGGGTCACCACCATTAGTTCACACCCTGTAGCTAGTAAAGCAGCAATAGGGTCACAGTAGATGCCTCTCTCTAAGTCCTGAAGAGAATTCCTAGTTTCCTTATCTATCGTGCGATCGTCCCCAATCCTTGGAATCTCTCCTTTTAGGCTCGGATGTCTCATTTCGTGAGGATCATGTGAGAGTCGTCAGGATCGGCAGCACTATCAGGCAGGTACCCCACTATAATAACCCTACTTTGGATATTTATCAAGTTGCATTATGAGTCATGCATTCCATGTAGTCTTGGATAATTATCACTCTTATACTACACCTAGAGTAGTCTAATAATCTATAGAAGCCTCTCATCTAAACAATGGTAATGGGAACGCTTAATGCTTATTGCTTAGTTGCTTGGGCAATGGTAGAAGTCGAGCATGAGAAGGGAACTCATACTCGTGCATGTAGGATGTTACACCTGGATAATTAACTACTAAAACCAATAAGGGTACAACTTGACTTACCAAACTAATCTGGCTAAGAACTAATATCCCTAACGTGGTAATCTTGATACTAACTTGGATATCTTGCTCATGCGAGGGGTAGGTTGTCGTGAGTGTGGGATCTCAGGCAACGTAGCTGTGGAGCAGTAAGGACCGTGTATTGGGATACGTAAGTCTGAGTAACCACCCGTACAGACCACATGTCACGGATGGGGTCGACAAGCCAAGTAACTAGTTGCGACCTATTTATCCGTGAAACTAGAAAGGGGGGTGGCGTCAACCGGGAATGTCCGGGAGCCCAGCCGAACCTTTCATGTGACACTCGGGCCGGATTAGTGAAATATTGGAAGGCATGAGGCAACCCTTACCCGGGCATGGGTATGATGGTTAGTCCTGACTTCTGTGTGGGTATAGTTGTACACCTCTACAGAGTCTTGAAAGCCTAGAGTCCTTTGGGACGGAACCATTTGGTTGTTCTTTCTTTCTATACCCATGGTAGCATGAACAATGGACTATGAGCACTACGTTATAATGATGAATATCTTTACTACTAATGTTGAGCATAGCATGTCATATTCCTAATGAACATCATTGCTTTCCGCACTCATACAAATGTCCAATAATCACCCTATGCATCCACCAAATACTATATGTTGGAATTAAGCCCTGCGAGTAAGCAATGTACTCACGGTGCAGCCGTTAAGTTGTTTTGCAGGTACGTCGTAGACTGTGTTGAGCACTAGCTCAACCGCCGCTGCATAGTAGCACTTGGAATGGGCGTTACTCCAGGCGTGCTACAAGTTAACTCCGGATTCCTTGATGGAGCGACTATGAGAGTGAACCCTAGTGTAGTAAAGACCGAGTCCACTGGATAGAGCAGGATGTAAAACTTGTACTAGGAAGTCTGGTTAATTTGTACATAATTGTATCAATTGAGTTCCATCTACTGGTTCGATGTTGGAATAATAATTGGAATACTATGTGTCACTCAACCTAAACCTGAAGAGGGGTTGCTCGGTGCGCTCCTGGGGGCCTCGAAGCTACTACTTCGATAACTCCCACAACAGTGATAGCCTCGATATCTGGTACATTTTGGCCTTTCCATGCCAGTTAACCTTGCACATGTAGCAAGCAATACATAAGTATAGCAGTATTACAAAAAAATTCAAGCAAATGAAGAAGCACTACTGGAATCTCGCATTTTTCTGTGTGTGCGAAAACACACAGAAAAATGCGAATACCGTCAGAAAAATATTTTTTTGACGGTCTACCCTCAGAAAAATACCCATAGAAATATAATGATAGAAAAATTCAATTGTTCTGTGTGTTCGCCGTCAGAAACAATTTTTCTGTGGGTGTTACACGCATAGAAAAATTGCGTTACCCCAGATTAAATTTAAATGTTGTGTGCGTTGATCCTCACAGAAAAAAAGAAAAGCCCGACAAGAAAATAATTTTTCTGTGGGTGTTACATGCACAGAAAAATTGCATTAGCCAGATTAAATTTAAATGTTGTGTCGATCTCGGTTAACGCACAAAAAAATAATAGACCACCGACAGAAAAACCCTTAACCATGCAGCAAATTGGATACAATAATTATATAGAACAGAACAGTAGCAACAACATATTAAATATGGACTGTCCATACTGTAATTTCATCACAACATAATCAAATTAACAAACATTGATTCATTCATGTATTAGCAAGTCATATGTCTTTACATAGATATAGCACATACACAAATAGTTCAATGCTCAACAAAAGGTATTGTATGTCTTTATAACAAGCCATTTGATGACGATATATGCACTAGCTACACGCATAACCATTCATCTCCAATCACTCTCTGCGTAGATTTGTCAATGTAGTCTCTATATAACCGGTGCAAACATTCCATAATTGCCCTTGTCTTCCGGATAATGCCTGCAAAATTGAAGGATTAGATGCTATGGCATATCATCATCTAATAGAAAATGATGCAAATCAAGCAATGAAATTCTCGAACTTCTAACATTTGGGGTGAACCATAAAAAATAACATGTATATATATGATACAAGGCAGCCATATTATCATCATCTGATAGAAAATGATGCAAATCAAGCAATGGAATTCTCGAACTTTCAACATCTGGGGTGAACCATAAAAAATGATATGTATATATATGATACAAGGTAGCCATATTATTGTGCTACAATTGACTAGAAGATGAGTTTGTACTAGCAAACAGCTAGTATCCAATACACAAACATAGCTCCTTAATATGAATGCTTCAGTCATGCGAGAAAACTGAAGAATGAGAAAGGATATTCTCACCTAAGCAGATAGGGCACTGAACCTCCTTCCATATCTCTTCTAATTTCACTAGCATAAACCTGAGAGAGACAGAACAGTTCACTATAAGCTTCAGACCATGAAAAACATCAAATATTCCAAAGTCCAAGAACCTGAATAATGAGCTTCAATCTATGTAGAATAGTGAGTGCAGGTAAATATAAACAAATGTAGCATCTGTTTTTGTACTGTACTTCCAGTAAGGCAGTGAGATGCACCAGTAAGGCAGTAAAGACTTGCTTGAGACTGAAGCCAAGCAGTAGAATATATATTTCACCTTATGAATTTCTAGAGCATGTGCATTGCCGATTGGAAAACATGATGAGCATTACAAGTCGGATATATTTGCTTCCTTGCACAAATAAAATGCATATGCAAACAGCAGCTACAATGAAAGGGCCAATGAAAGAATGTGCATAGACTATGCATGGCTATTGTTGGCATGGTGAAGCAGTTCATGCCTGTTATTTTTCCAGCTACAATGAAAGCTCAGTGTTAATCTCATCAGCAGGAGCAATTGAACTTTTTGACAACACATAATGTCATAAAAGTCGAAGTACAAAATCAAACTTCACTTACCAGGGCAATGGTTCAGGGTTTCTTAGAATTCTTACTCTTCTTATTCTCATCCATAAGACATGCCCTCTTGTTACTTGTAACTCCACTAAAAATTGGAGCAAAGACCTGACATGGATCTATTTGCCAAATCAGAGTAAAGAACTAAAGAAACTAGAAAGGGTGAGCAAAAGTTATCTGGGTTGAATAAGATGCAACCTCTTGGGTAAAAAACACACGGAAGGTATCAAAGGGTGAGCCGGCGTTAGAAATCATTGTTGAAAAAGATGATGCTGTAAGCAATGGTGATGCCTGGAGGACAACAATTGATGCCTGCTTACCTGTACTTGACCTCATTGACACACGGAGGTCTATTCCATATGGCATTTAGCAAGTGAGGGAACTTATTGGCATCTCATGTGCCTTCAATCAAGTTGTGCAGGTTTGTCAACAAAGCATGTTTTAATATTAATGGTTAAGTCAGCAGTTTTGACTGCAGCAACACCACAGGGACATTTATTCCCCACCCAAGGACTTCTGGGGATTGGTAGATCTTGCCTTGTTTAGGATCGGTGTCTATTCTAGTTTGATTGGGTTAATTAGATATTCTGAGGTGTTGTATAATACTTAAGTTGGAGAGCAAAATATTCAGAAAGGCAGCTCATGGGAAAATGGCACAGAGCAAAAATGGTCACTTTCATCTTCCTTAAGCAAAAATGAAGTGCACAGAGCAAAAATCAGTTTTGTAACTCGGGTCTTGATTTGCAGTGTTGCACACAGTAAAAAAGGTGGAATTAGAAAGAAGCATACTCCTAATACACTAAAGCCTATATGCAGTGCTGTGTAAAACACTAAAACTGTCCATATAAAAAGGTGGAATTAGAAAGAATCATACTCCATTTTAAGTGCCTGCTGACACGAGCAGGATTTTCAATACATGAATTATTCCTCTTTCTTATCTTCTGCCACAGCACCATGTGGATTGGCTAGGGGTTTTGATTCACTCGCACCCTGTAAAGGCGGAGTACAATAAGCAATTGGGAGATGCACTGTGGCATGAGCATATAAGGGCACAAAAAGTAGGATGAACATGTAGGTGTACCTCATTGTTCTTCTGAGCCACAGGCTTGTAAGGACAAGCAGGTAGGACTCTTTCAGGTCTCCGGTACTCCCATCCAAATAGCCGATCCACCTTGCTCTGGAAACCGTCCAAGATACAAATCAAATTCCATAATGTAAGCAACAGAATTTTATTAGAAACTAGAAATGAAACAGAGATCCTCTTCATTCATGTGACCAAATGCACATGTAAACCTACAAGGCTATGTGCAGTCAGAGAGCGCATCACTATCATTTTTGGTTCACAGATCAGATGTATGGTTCTGACAGAATTATTCTTAAGCAACTGACCATATAATATAATCCTAGAAAACCTAACAAAACCGTTAATGAAAATAAACTAGCTTCGGCCCCTAGCTGGCTCTTCCAAATCACATACACAAATCTTTGTAATTGGCAGGTAGATCCTCCCTAGAGGATCAATGATTTATTGTTCCAGCTAATCCCATAAGGCCTAGACAAACTTAGGCATGAGTACATGGCTAGACCCAGCCGACGTCACTGAACCACTATTATTGTAAAAGGTGCATATTACTCCCGAAAAAAAGAAAAACAACAATCCAATATCTTCCATGCCGCCTGTCTAAATTGAAATTATGGTTTCCTTTATTTATTACAGCGTCAGGACTCAGGAATTGGTTTATTCTCAAATCTTGCATCTGTAGTATTATCACTAATCAAAAGGAGGTATGTTGTATAGTTATTCACATGCATCTAGAAGCTGAATTTACTGCACAAGAAGCTGATATCTAGAATCAACAATCTATAGGCCAGGAAGCTGCTGGGCACAAGAATTCATAATAATCCAAAATGCATATTGCTTATCAATTCACTGCATGATGTTATTGCTATGCGAATCTGATGAGGAAATCTGGGTGGGTATGAACTGTTGCTAAGGAAACATGATCATAAAATCCAAACCAAATCATCATAGAAAAGAAAACCAGCTCTGGCCGTAGCTGGCTCATACCAACCACAATCGATAATCGACATCAAGGTCTGTCTACTCTTCTCTATAGGAACGGTGGGCTCTGGTTTCTTGCTCCAACGAATCCACAAGCCCAAGACAAAACCACTAGGGCAGCAGACTAGACAAAAAAGCTCGAAAATCCCCCGCCACCGCTGAATCAATAGAACCCCTAACCACCACGGGCGATGCCTGGTTGGATCATACAGAAACCAGAGAGAGAGAGAGAAAGAAGGATCCGTACGATGATGAGGTCGATGAGGTAAGGGAGGGCGTTGACCACTGGGATCAGGAAGAGCGGCAGCAGGCACGCGACGCATACCTGGCCAAGCACATCCACCACGACGTTAGTATAGCACTAGGATCTGTAGGGAGGGGAGGGGAGAGGGAGAACTGAGCACCTCACCATATCGTCGGATCAGAAGCTGGAGGATGGATCGGCCTCCTTGTCTTTGACCCTGTTGCTTGCACCGATTCGTCTCCTAGCTCCTCCTCGTCGTAGTCATCAGGGCGCGGTGGTCGCCGATCCGTGCGATGAGAATGTGATTGGGGACAAAGACTGGAGAGGAGAGGAGAGGAGGGACAAAGGAGACAACGGGATCTGCTCGGTCGTCGGCGTGGAGGTGGTGGCGCCGGATCCAGCCGCCTGGGGGCACGCCCGCCATGGATTTGGCCGGATCCGGCGGTGAAGGAGAGGGGCCGCGCCCGCCGCGTCGATGAAGAGGGAGAGGGAGCAGAGGGAGTGGCGGCGCTGCTCGGGGAGGGGAGGAGCCCCCGCGCTGAGTCGCACAGGGAGGGCGCGGCGCTGAGTCGCAGAGGGAGGGGCGCGCTGAAAGGAGAGAGTGAGGGAGGGGCGCGGTCTAGTGCTTGCGTGAGAGGGTGTTTGGGGCGCAGCTGCCGGCGGGTTAGGGTTAGGATTTCTCTGTGCTTGTACATATTTTTTTTCTGTGCGTTTTTAAAGAACCGGCAGAATAAATTGTATTTTTCTGTGAGTGCTGATTTTTTTCGTGTGTGTATTGTCACGCACAGTGGGTTTTAGTATTTTTCTATCGGGATATTTTAGAATTGACAGAAAAATCATAATTTTTCTGTGCGTGCCGAAAAAAACACACAGAAAAATTTATCACCCACAGAAAAATGCGAGATTCCAGTAGTGAAGTAGATTTGTTTTCTCGCTCCACCATAGATATAGTTCTAGATCTAGATCACCCAAAACTTAAAAAAGAGAGCAGAATATGGATGTGGGAGTGCATAGCAACCTCCTACGGTGTCATCCTTCAAGGAATCCAAGAGCAAAACTCCTCCCCCAAAAAATGGTAAATTTTTGGAGGTATAGAGCTTAAACCCCATCAAATTGAGAGGGTGGGCTCATGGAGGAAGAAGATGAGGTTGGTTGGGGGCTGCATTTATAGGCACGGATTAACGGATGCGGGCACCTTAGCAGAATCGCCTCCGTTAATCTATTAACCGAGGTGAAGTTGTCCGCCTCCGTTGATAGACCATTAATGGATGTGGTCATGTAAAGGCGCCCGCCTCGGTTAATAGATTAACGGAGGCAGTTGCCGTAAGGCGTCCGCCAACATTAGGGGAACTAATGGAGGTGGCTGCCTCCATTAACAATTAACCTAGGCGGGCGCTCAGCCATGGGCCCTGGTAACGATTAACAGAGGCGGCACTCTATTGTGCCTGCCTCCGTTAATTTGAGGCCAGTGCCTCGCGAAATCATTTATGTATTAGTGGAGTGAAAGTTGGGTGCGGTGAGGGCGCGCTGTGTTGAGTTGGAATTGACAAGGCATTGTGGATAGAGATGGGAGTCGGTGGTCCTGGTGGGAAGGCTGTAGATGAGTGAGGTAGTAGGGGAGAGAGACAGAGGGGTGAGGCCGGTTAGGGTTAAATTTTATTGGGCTAGGATCCAATTAAGAACAAGAGGATCTCTAAACAGGGACTTCAGTATTGTTGAAGTATAAATGAATTGCCCATATTTTCCTACCAGTTTAAATTTTTAGATTGAAATGGTCATTGAATGCAGCTCATTAGTTTGAATCCTATGGCATCATGTTCAGAGGTCTGGAGCTTGCATCCAGGCAAGGAAATTAAATAAAATAATTAGAAAGTTATAGCAAACTCCTATTTCCATGTTAGAGTCCAGAGGGAGCCTGTATACGAGGAGTAGTATTAAAGTATAAGTAAATTGTCGAGCTTTCCCTGTCAATCTAAGATTTGTATTAAAGTAGTTGCTGCATACATCTCAATAAGAATTTCTATATACGCTAGTAAACAATAAGAATATTAAGAGGTCTCGTTTACTCTCTCAAGAGCAAAAAGAGTCCATTTTGTTAATGGAATGGCAGAAGGCAAGGCGCATGGTAGTTAATACACTGCATTAGACACATCAAAGACTGTATGTCACTAAACGTATATCAACAAATAGAATAATAAAATAGAGACTAGAGATAGAGATATACGTGATCCTTGAGGTAAAACGAAGTTTCAAAAGATTATTCTGGAGTTCCTTAGAGATCATAGATTGTATGTAATATACAGTACCAGATGAGTGCATGCTCAATATATCCCTGCCGTTTGATAAGCCAACCCGGCAATGATAACCGACCATATCACTGCCAGGTGATTCTTTGACCTGTCGGGTCGCCAAACCGGCAGTGACAGGACATCCTTATCTCTGCCAATTAACCTCTGCCGACAATGGAAGTTGCTTCCTACCCAGTAGTGATTATCAGTTCTTGCGTAGTGGAAGACTCTTTGGCACAATCACAGATTCACAGGCAGTACAACTCAACCGACTGAGCCCGTGCCTTGCGCCTGATGATGGCGCTTGCAGCCAGCGCATCACTGCTTGATGTCTCCTCCAAATGACTCTCATGCAGATCACTCATCTCTGTGATGTCATCGAAGCTGCTGTGAAGGATCCCTTCTTCCGGTGGCCACACAAACGTTGGCTTTTCAAGTGGCACGTTGGGCGCTGGCACCGACTTGGCGACGACCTGCATCACCTCGGTCATGCTAGGACGATCCAACGGGTTGGGGTTGGTGCATGCTAACCCTAAGATCAGCAACCGGGTGACGCCATCCGCATCATACCCTTCCGTGGAGATGACATTTTTGTCGACTGCTTCTAGCAGTCTTCCTTCCCGGTGAAGCCTCCAGACCCAGTCAGTGAGCAGCTGAAACGTGTCTTGGAAGGCGCTGAGAGCTCGCCTCCCAGTGACCATCTCAAGGGTCAGCATTCCGAACGCATAGATGTCTGTCTTGCGGGTTGACTTTCGGCTCAACGAGTACTCCGGCGCGATGAAACCCCATGTACCGGCGACCCCGAGGTCAGTGTAGGAGTTCTTGTCGAGACTCACGATGCGTGCGAGGCCGAAATCGCCGAGGCGGCCATGGAAGGTTGAGTCGAGCATGATGTTGCTGGCTTTGATGTCACGGTGGAGCACCATGTGTTCATGCTCGTGGTGGACGTAGTGGAGCCCCGCAGCTACATCCACAATGATGCCGTAGCGGGTAGTCCATCCGAGGATGCGTCCTGCTTGTTCCTTAGGAAACAAGTGATGGTCAAGGCTGCCGTTAGGCATGTACTCGTAGATAAGTAGGAGCTCCCCCTTCTCGTAGCACCAACCTGGAAAAACACTTTAAAATACATGGTCAAACTCTTAATTAATTGCTAGCATGCATGAGTCCAGAATATATATTTGTAGGAGTGTGAAACTTGAATGAGCTAATGTTTCATTTGCACAAAATGAAAATGGCAATCTACTGCTCTTTCCAATTCCACGAAAGTTAATTTGACCAGCAGCTTAGACTCTACAATTTGGTGCGATTAATCAACTCTATATGTACTCTTATTTTATCACTACTGTAAAAATAGTTTTAGGAAACAACCCATTTGATACACAGAGGTGGACAAAAAAATGTCCATGCCTCCTAAAATACACGGCTGTTTTTGGAGACAGTCAATCTATTTTCAGAGACACTCAAAAAAATTACAATCACAGTATATCGTACATGCATGTACCTTGGTACTATTTCTTGTCATATTGTTTTCTATGTTAGGCTTGGTCATCCCTAGATAGTCGTCAAACCTTTTGATGTGAATTGTGATGGTAACAAAGAAGTCCATAAGTTCAGCTTCAAGTAGCAAAGTGAAACTTGTGTTCTAAAGTTGTATTTATATTCCATATGACCGAGACAAACGACTTGAGTTTGGCAATAAGTCAGTCAATACAAGTGTCAATAGAACTTGGCAAGCAGTAGGAACCTTAAAAAACAATCCATTCTAAATGTCGCTACTTCACAAAGTGATTGATTTTATTTATATCAAACAACTCACACGATCAAAGTTGTACAAGACTTGAAACATCTTGCTCAAGGTTGTAACACTAGGAAGGAGATTGGATTGGAAAATGCAACCACATAGTAGATGGGATGTTGAGGAAGTAGGAACAGAAGCATATGGAGTACGTGTGATATGTATATAAAATAGAGCAAAGTAACAACAGTAGAGCCCAAACAAATGGGACTTTCATTATTGTGTAGACCTAGATATGAATGTCCATTTAAGTAGAATGCATAACAGTAACAGAGCGATAATCAGGCAATATATATTTACGATAAAAATCATGATAACACAGTGCATGCATATACTTAATTAGATTAATCTTTATGCTAATCACAGACAATTCCATGGGCTACCCAATTAGATAATTTCCTAGTGCAATGTGATTTCTCCATGGTCCATGCATGCATGTCACAACATTTTAAACTTTAGATAATTTTATGTATCCTCGATACCAAGGAATTAAAAGTCAGCATTGGTAGGCCTAATATTTCTGTCCCACTCATGCGACTATTCGTCCCGTTTAATTTGCTGCGACGAAAACCTGTCTCGTTCTATTTAGAGGGAGAACAGGTTGGCGATGACAGCGACCTCGTTAGGAACCAGTAAAACCTCCAATTCTCCTCCATACGTAAAAATTTCTCGGTTTTCTCTCGCAGTTTATAACTGAAGATAATGTGAAAAGTGACTTCTGTCTCTATGCATGTAAGACAATAGTGCCTGCAGACTCTATCTACCTACTATTAGCTGTACTCATCAATGGTGAGTCTTTTTTCCTTCATGCATGCATGTCACCAGATGAAGGACTTTGACTGAATGACTGACACACAGCACACATGCATGACAAGAAATTTGAAACTCTCTCATCGTTGAATGAAGAACATACCAACTAGCGGGACGATGTTCCGATGACGGAGTCGGTTGATGATGTCGACCTCGGCGAGGAAGTCGTCGTAGCACCGGTTCTCGTTCCGGGTGAACTTCTTCACCGCGACGTCCACGCATGCTGCCATGCCGTCCTTCCCTGCAGATCGCAGTGTGCCCTTGTACACAGCTCCGAACCCGCCTTTGCCCAGCTTCCTCGCCTCGTGGAAGTTGTCGGTGGCCTTCCTCATCGTGGCGTGCTTGAACTCCCTCGGCATGCCGGGCAGCCGCCGCAGAGTCTCCGACAGGACCAGCTCCATCTTGAGCTTATTGTACTTGGAGTTGAAGTAGAAGACGGCAACGAAAAGATTCATGATTCCAGTGAAGGCAATCCCACCCAAAACTGCCGGTAGTATCACCCTCCAATCCATGCTTGGGCCGTCGCCAGGGAGAGTAACTTGCAGGTTCCAGCTCAGGACGGATTGGAGCTCGGAGCTCACGTCTGTCCAAGCCAATAAACCAACAAAGGCTCTCTGCGGGAGGTGGTCACTAAGGTTGAGGGCCACATCAATGGCGGCTTTGTCCGGTTTCGCCTGCCCTTGGACATTCATATATATTGATACGGCACGGTCATGTCGTCCGGCACCATTGTTATACTCGATCCACACGGTGAAGTTTTTTGTAGCGGCCTGCAGATTAGTTGGGACGGTGATATTCAGAGACGAACGCGCAACAACGTCGTCGGAGACGGAGACACCAGCGTTGATGCTGATGATGGAGCGGTTGCCGTCAGGGTCATAGGACTGCTTCACCGTGTCGAACGTGAAGGTGACGAAGCCGCTGCTAGTGGAGGAAGAGGTAGCCTTGGAAGAAGGGTTGTTGCCGAGGCCCAGGATGTCAAGTGGGGGGCTGTTGAGGGAGGGAACCAAGACGAACGCGAGGCCGCCATCTCCTCTCCTTTCCATGATGCCCATGGTGAAGGAGGCTTTAAAGGATGCGTTTTGCTTCACGTCCTCGGGGTCTTGGCACCAGAGGATGACCGGAGCTGGCAGGAGCGCGGCACCGGACCTGTTGCGATTCCTCGAGTCGTCTGCAGTGAGATGGAGGACACCATTACTGATCTCGGCGTCCTTGATGAGTACCAACTCATCAGCAGAGCCACTGCTGAAGGAGGAGAAATCGTGGGTCCTGTCACCGCAGCTGCATCCAGCTGATGACGCCAATGAGCCTGAGATTCCCGAGCAGAGGAACAGCGGTACCAGGAGAAGGATGCGTAAACATGACATGCTTGGACAACTTTTCTATGGCAAGCATCTGCGAGGGTGCACGGTGGTGGCTTATGGCTTTATGCAGCACTGCGGGCAGTGTATTCTACAGGCCGGCAAAAACCTCTACTACCTACTACTACTTATATATAATAACAAACTAGTCCAATCTATTTGCACCTTAGAATGAGTTCTACTAATTTCCTCTATCGTGTGCAATCAATTTTCATAACAGCATCTCCAGCAGGCTACCTAAACAGACTACATATCCTATATTTGGGTAGTGGAAGTAAAAAAATGCACTCAACAGGCTACCTATCAGCCTATCTAAATTTGTTGGCTCAACAAATTTCCACTCCCACTACCTACACCTGTCTAAAAATCTGGTCGGTCGTTTCCCCTACCCGAGCGAGCTCGCTCGACTCTTTCCCCCGCGCCGCTAGAGCAGGGTCGCCATGCCCATCCACCAGCGCCACCCTTCCTCCGACTCAGCCCATGCCCTCCTCCGCCGGATCTGGAGGGCCGCCTCCCCGGTCGTCTTCACGAAAAAGAAGGCCGCGCCGGTTGTCCTCCTCCAAGCCGGGAGCCTCCCTCCGCGCCCCTGCTCCCTCCGGCGCGAACGGCAGCCCTTCCGGTGCTAGCCCCTCCGCTGTCCCGATCTGCGCCGGCTCCAGCTTTCACCGGCGACGACCCAGCTCCCACCGACACACGGCCGCAGCTCCCACCGGCAGCCGGGCACCAACGAAAGCCTTCTCCCTGCCGCCTGAGCACAAGGTACGAAGTTGCCTGAATAAAATTTCATATGTACCTAACCTGCAAGCTGTCTAAATAATTTTCTATGTGAAACTATGGCCACTTATAGATGGTTTTGAGTGACTTCTTGAGTATACATAATAAGAGTGAAGACCGAACAATTCATGAGCAACTTCGTGATGATTTGATGGAGCATTTGTGGGCACGTCATGGTGTGTCGTAGTGAGATTTAGATTTTGTAACGACCCGAAACCTGTTACACACTGGGCAGTCATTTTGATTATCAAAGGAAAATCACCTACCAAGTCACTCCGAAGATTTCTAATGAAATATGTGAGATAAGACATCAAGCACCCTATGCAAACCTCGGATAACCATGGTCAGGCTCACACCCAGAGCAATGGAGGACAGAGACAGAGACCATGCAATTCAGCAAAGACAGAGACTGTCGGACCGTCCAACAATACCACGGACTATCCGACAGATCGCAGTGCTGCAGCAGTAAGTGGGAAATGATTTGTTTGCCACTTAAATGGGTGGGACCCACATGTCAGCACGAGTGGGAAGAGATATTTCTCAGCTGAAGCCACTCTCTCTTAGTCATCCTCTCATTTGCAACATTCACTCTCTCTCTCTAACTCACTCAAGAACAAGCAAGAACCCTAGAGGCTAGAGAGGGGAGAGATTGGAGGAAGGATTGAAGAAGATAGAGGAGAGGAAGAAGGGAAGCACCAGCAGCAGCCCATGGACACCCTTCAACCCTCAACCTCTTCATGGTGAGCTCAAGAAGAACCATCCTCTTTTCTTGGATTCTTCACCCAATGATCTAATCCATGGATGTTGATGCAAGATGGAAGACTCCTTGCTGGTGGTAGTTACAACATGAGTAAGTAAGCTCAAGAAGTTCTTACCTAGTTCAATCATCCAATGAGTTCATGGATCCTTTGAACCATCTTTTTGGTATGTGGCAAGAGAGAGCTCATATGGAGCCAATCCAATTCGTGGATAAGAAGCAAGAGTAGAGAAGGTTTGGATCTTCAATCTTTTCGCTATGGAAGCTCTCAAATCTCAGAGCTAAGGTTATTATCTTCATCTCATGGTTCATCCTCAAGTTCTTGTATCTGTAAGTATGATCCTAGCCTATAGCCACACTTAGTAAAACGGGCTTAAAACCTAGCTACCTTGAGCCTAGTGAGTCACCTAAGCCATCCTAGAAATATCTTGCACATGCATAGATCATAGCTGGGCACATCTAAGTTTGGAACCCAAGATCACCTAAGAGCTTGGGGTCTGTCGACAGCTTGACGGAGTGTCCGTCGAATCAACGGAGTGCCCGACAACCCAGGAAAACTAGCCACCGGAACCTTATCTCCTGTTGACATGGACTATCAGAGTGTCCACGATATCCCATGGAGTGTCCATTGAATTATAAGGACTTATAGCCAGTGCACCCAAGAATACCAAGCCTACACCAGAGCGTCCGTCACTTACGGGAGAGCATCCGATGATTTATAGTGGATAGTAACCCAGCAACCTGAGGCCACCTAGTTCCTATCGGAGTGTCCGTCACTTCCAACGGAGTATCCATCAACCCAAGCAGAGTCCAACCAGAGCCAAGTCACCTCAAAACCCTAACCGAACGGAGTGTCTGCCACCTAGGTCAGAATGTCCGTCAAGTTAACAGTAAGGATGAAGTTACCAAGTGAACTTACCCAGAGGTCAACTATACTAGACTAAGCATAGTTACAAGTAAGGCAATAGGAGAGCCATAGGTAGAAGCCTCTACCTTAAGTCCCAAGCCGAGTCTTGTTCCTAAGCCTCCCTCGGTTACCTTCAACCTCGACCATTATTCTCTTTCAAGACCCGAGTTGCGTAAGGAATGCATGTGAGTTGTGTCTACAATCTCGGAGTCATCGGCAAGATCAGGCTAGCACCCCACTACTATAAAACCAATTTTGGATACTTATCTAGTTTCATTATGAGGTATGCATTACATAAAGTTTGGGTTATTAATCTTGTTCACTCTACACTTAGAGTCACTCATTAATCTAGTAGAAGCCTCTCACCTAAACAATGGGAATGGAAATGCTTAATTGCTTATTGCTTAGTTACCTAGCAACGGTAGAAGTCGAGTATGAGAAGGGAACTCATTCTCGCGAGTGTAGAATGCTACAACAGGATAATTAATCACTAAAAGCAATGAGGGTACAACTTCACTTATTTCACTAATCTTGCTAAGGCACAATAACACCAAAGGTCATAAACTTGAATACCACTATGGTAACTTTGCTCATGCGAGGGATAGGTCATTGTGAGTGTGGGTGGGATCTCAAATGACATAGCTCGTGGAGTAACTAAGGACCGTTTATTGGGATACGTGAGTCCGAGTAACCACCCGTATAGACCACATGTCGCGGATGGGGTCGACAAGCCAAGTAACTAATTGCGACCAGTTTATCCGTGAAACTGGCAAGGGGTTGGAGTCGGTCAGGAATGTCTGGGACATTGACCGGTGAAAGGTCCTAATGGCTAGAGGGGGTGAATGGCCTATTAAAAATTCTACAACAACACTAAGACAAGTGATTAGTAGATAAGATGGCGAAGCGAATTTTGCGCTAGCACTACACTTGTGTTGCAAGCCACATACCCAATTCTAATCTCTATGATCTCTAGTATATCACAAAAGAGCTATGCCACTAATTTACACCTAGGTGATCAAGCTAGCAAGAGAACTACAACTAAAGAGCTACACTAGATACAATTACCACAAGCACTGCACAAGGTAAATACACAAAGTAATGCAAGAGAGGTAGAGGTGATATACCTCTGTGGCAAGTGATCAATCAATGAATACAAAAGAATACCAAGGAGACAATGATGACACAATCAATTTTTCATCCGAGGTTCTCTTGCTTGCCGGCAAGCTAGTCCCTGTTGTGGTGATTCACTCACTTGGAGGTTCATGCGCTAATAGGCATCACACGCCTAACCCGCAACCGGGTGTTGCACAACCAACACAAGATGAGTGTTGATGGTAGTTATCATCCATCATAAACCAGCAACATAACATGAATAAATGCATGAAAAGGATCACCAACATAGACTTTGGGGTTTAAACTGACAATTTTCATGAGTTTTGGTGAATCTATGTTTTCAGCAGGGTTATTCCATAAAACTAGGCAAGGAGGATCAAAATGACAAATTAAATCACGCTTATCCACCGCCAAAACAGCTCTAGAAGGTTCCAGATGACACCGAAAGCCACGTGAACGAGCAGATGGCAGGAGGCTGGCCCCACCTGCAGGTCGCCCGGCCCCCTGGGCCCACATGTCATCCTCTGTTTCGACGTCGGTTCCTCCACCGCCTCCAAGATTGCATCTCACCGTTCTTTCAAGTCGGTTTGATCCGAGGGCTCAGGATAGACGTTCCGGCCTATATAACTAGCCCCTGACCCCCACCAGAGCATGCTATCATAAGTCAAGATCAGACTAGAAATTAGGGTTTCTACAGAGAAGAGAATACAGCTCCAATTCTTCAAGTTCTAGTGTAGGCTAGCTAGCAAGGTTCAAGTAGAGTGTGGGCTATTGCTCAGAATTCTGGATCTGCCATCTAGAGACTGGTATTGTGACAGAACCGCCCAATTTATACAAGATCAAGTATGGTTGTCCCCATTTAGCACATTGATGCGCACATACTTTCACTTATATAAACCCGGTAGTCCGTCGAGTGTCACGAAGGACCTCGATAAATCAACATCACAACCAAGATCGCGTGATTAAGTAAATACACATCACATACACAGAGTTGCAGTGGAAATAATATTATAAATGGGTTCACAAATAATAGTACAAGTTTGGGTTTCAAAACCGGTTAATGGAAAACAACATAGCTTTCAAATAATTACATTAATATAAGTTCCAAATACATTGCTAGCATAAGTGACATCCTCTGATAAAAGCATATAGATGAGAAATGAATATAGAGTCACCGAGCCCACCGACGGTTAGCCACCATCTTCAGCAGGCCGAGAACTTCACCTACAACATGGTGGGATAAACCCTGAGTACTCGAATGTACTTAGCTAGACTTACCCATGATAAACTAGAAATAAAGTGACTCCTAGGATCATGCAAGACTTTATAGGTGGAGTTAGCTTGACAAAATTTTGCATAAAAGCCACTAGTTGAGCTATACATTTTATAATTTATTAACCAAGTTAATTATAGCTATTTATCTCTAGATTAGCAACTAACCTGTGCCACACATGT